AGAAACATATACCTATAATACGTACATATAATTAAATTATTAAGTAAAACCATATATCTCCGTCTATGGGCGGTCTATCAGAGTTAGTTTAGCTGACTTCCGATAAGCAACCCGTTCCCTATACCAATTTTTTTTCGAATTATTCAAACAGGTGACGAACTTTTTTTGCGTTTGCGGTATTCCTTTATAGTTGACTTATTGTTTGGATGGACTTATAGACATTTTGAGCATCTTTTATTAAATGTAAATTTATGTTTTAGGATAAATTTCAAATAAATTTTATTATCGTAATTTTCTTCCTTTTGAATTTATTTTATAACGGCGACAGATAGGTATAGGAAAGTACATAGGGAAGTGGAAGGGTATGAAATTCTCCTTCAGTTGATGAATAGAAATACAGGGTAATACATTTGAAAAATTTTTAAAAATTTTCCTCGAAATTTTTGGAAAGTGAAATTAATTTGTGACCACCCTGTACAAAATAAAAATTCAAACTTTGTCCAAAAAAATCTTTGGTCTATTATACAATCGTAGTTTTTTAAATTCTAACATCAAATTCGAGAGAGAAATTCATATTTTAATAGGCGTCTGAAAATGTAATATTTTTTGGTAATTTTTTTTCTGCGAAAGGGGTGGGATGTTAGAAACAATATTTTGTGGGTATGTACTAGTGACCATAGAGTACCTAAAATTGTAAAAAAAGTTGAGTCATTCCATTTAAAAAAAATTAAGTGATTTGCCTAATTTACTATTGGGTCACCCTGTACACAAGAAAATAATTTTGGGATATTTGGTATTGGTCACCATTGACAGGTATAAATCAAATAAATCGTTAAGATTTGCATAGTAGGAGTTATATAACTACGACAAAGGTTTGGCCAACCCTGTATAATTGGTCATAAAATATTGTTTATCAATTGTTATGTATTGTGAGGGAACATCTAGCTCCTTCATTTTGTTGATCGACCCTCTCAAATACCTCTTAAAAAGCTGCAAACTTGTCGGTTTCTTTTCTTTGAGCTCTGGTTTATTTATCGTCAAAGCAAAGACAGTATACCAAAAACCTGAAACGTATCACGATCATGGTAGCACGAATAATAGGCATGTCTGTGTCTTTATGAAATAGTTCCTTCGTAAATACTACGGACAATTTTATAACACCGATATAATAAACTAGCCCAAAAAGTGCTTGAAGTTCAACATTGTTTGTATTCTTGGTCCAAGAGGGTCTTTTACCTACTGGCTTATCATCATCACTGCACTGTCAGCATCTTTGTCATGGTTTCTTTTTCCATATTTCAATCGTTGTTGCTCTTAGTTATTAGTACAGTTCATCAAATTTCTAGAGGCTTTCGACGGCTAGACAGAGAAAGCACTACTGACAGGCATCCCGACGGATTTACGCAATGAAAGTACACTCTGCGCATCAAGTATTTCACTATTTCATTCAGACGTAAATGTCAGATGTAAATTTCGCTAAAACATTTCTTTTATTTTCGTTTGTGTTTTTTGCTCATTACAGTTTAATAGAACCTAAGTATGGAGTTTAATAGCAAATTAAGAGGCCGCGTGATTAACAGTCAATCTCGCGAAATAATAGCCAATGTTATAGAGTTTATGAGAAGAGAAGGAAACTTTAATTCACCTTCAATACCATTTAAAAATGTAAATGATCGTGTTGCTGCAGCCACAGGAGTATCTAAAAACACTGTCGTCCGCATTTCTGGAGAGAAAAAAAGAATCGATAACCGTGAGATATCGGAATTTTCATCACCAAGAAAAACCATTAAAAAACCAAAAACAGTTAATGATATAGATGAAGCTGCACAAGAATCAAATTTTATTTTTTTATTATTAGATAGCTATTTTTGTTTCTGAGTTGTGTTCATTTACAGGCTCAATTTTTTTCCGTTTTTCCAAAACACCTTTTATGGCATAATAATTATTTTCAATTCTACATACTATCTTTAGCTGCTTTTAAAAACGTTCTAAGAAAGTCCAATCAGACCAATTTAATCCCTAAACTATTCCACACTTTTAAAATTTAATTACCTAAAAATATTAAAAACTGTTTAAAATAACTTGTTTAGCAGACTGTACAATAGCTATCTTAGTCACACGTAGCGCGTTCTCTGTCTGGGCGTCGAACACCTCTAGAAATTTGATGAACTGTATATTGTGTAATTTTATCTAGTGTTTGTTTTGTAAAACATAATTTTATAGCCTCTGTGTCCGATTTTAAATGTTTTGTATCGTTTTTGTTTCTTTGTTTCCAGGTAAATGCAGGACGAGGTTTATTTTTGGTATACAGTGAATTGTGCTTTTCTCTCCTGCAGGCAGATTCCCATTGACAATTCGACATCGAAATACTCGATTTCGACAGTTTGGTGAATTCCACATACTTTGATTTTCTTTTACTATACGGAGAATGGTCGCACTGCGCAGCTTTCTGAGTGCCTTTTAAAATGAGATAGAAAACTCCGCCATTTTGAACCCTTATTACGTGTTGCCTACATCTTGGCGCAATATTTTTAATATGTGCGTTTTAATCATCCACTTCTTCGGAATTGTCGGTTTTCTTGTTTTATTCTGACAGGTTAAAACGACTAAACCGACAATTCCGAAAGCAGAAGCGGATGATTAAAACGCACCTGATATTTTGACTGCTGCTGGCAGTGTCAGTGAATATTTTTTTTTAGGTCACAGTTTATTGCTAAAGAATCAGTTAGCTCACTTGGACCAGTTGAAAGTTCCAAAATAACATACACTCCAGGGATACAAATTCAAGATACGCAGAAGACTGCTGATTTATTATAGGCGGTTGTCATATATTGTATTATCCGAGTTGCACAGTGTATAAACTGAAACATTGAGATCCAAAGTGCCGACGCAGAGTGAGCGATCTGATTCTTTAGCTGTAAACTGTGTCACAGGGTTCAAAATGGCCGTGTCGGACCTCTCTCTAGCCTCGTATAGTAATCAAAGTATGTGGGTGAATTCCGATTTGCGGTAAATCATATTTGCATCGAGTAAAACGATTGCGAGTCACTCCCCAGCTCTATGGTGCCGAATTGCTCGATTTCAGTAGATTATTGAGGTTATAGCACGTGGTTGTAGAAGTTGTAGCCTTGTAGCGGTTGTGATTTCTAGTTGAAATTTGAACAGTTTAGAGTATTGTCACTGTTGATTATTCTATGTCATTGATGTAAGAAGTTCTTGAGAATTTTGAGAATATAAGTAAAAGGTCTGCCTTAAAAAATAATAATATAAGTACCTAATTAACTGTTAAATTGAAACAAAACAGCACAAAACTATTATAGGTAATTAAAGTGGGTTTATGCACGAATTTAAGAATCAACCCCTTCACTTTTATTCGCTGCTCTTGCGTTAAATTAAATTGTGTGCATAACCATTCCTTTAGAAAGACAATGTCAGTTTGGATGGCATTGTTGACAATTAAAAGACGCATTGCCACATACTTTGATTACTATACGAGGCAAGAGAGAGGTCCGACACGCCCAACATAGGGCGCGGCCATTTTGAACCCTGTGACACAGTTTACAGCTAAAGAATCAGATCGCTCACTCTGCATCGGCACTTTGGATCTCAATGTTTCAGTTTATACACTGTGCAACTCGGATAATACAATATATGACAACCGCCTATAATAAAACAGCAGTCTTCTGACTCTTCTGCGTATCCTGAATTTGTATCCCTGGAGTGGATGTTATTTTGGAACTTTCAACTGGTCCGAGTGAGCTAACTGATTCTTTAGCAATAAACTGTGACTTCAAAAATAATATTCACTGACACTGACAGCAGCAAGCAAAATTTCAGGTGCGTTTTAATCATCCGCTTCTGATTCCGGAATTGTCGGTTTAGTCGTTTTAACCTGTCAGATTAAAACAAGAAAACCGACAATTCCGAAGCAGAAGCGGATGATTAAAACGCACCTATTAAAAATATTGCGCCAAGATGTAGGCAACACGTAATAAGGGTTCAAAATGGCGGAGTTTTCTATCTCCTTTTAAAAGGCACTCAGAAAGCTGCGCAGTGCGACCATTTTCCGTATAGTAAAAGAAAATCAAAGCATGTGCGTATTGCGCATGCTTGCTACGAATACTACGAGTTTCGAAATCGACCAAAACGCAGGGCAATTCGATAGTGAATAGGAATAACAAATTTCTCGATATCGTAGTTGGTTGCGAGTATCGAAAGCCATTCGATTTCGCATTTCGCACTGATTTGGAATCTCACTGCAGACCATGTAAACCTATTTTTACTCCTTAGTTTGGTAGGAACTGTTAAATTTTTCACCATATCTATATTAGTCGTCTGTATGACTGCTAATGGTATATTAATATCTTTTGAATCCACATCAGATGGCGAGGTATCCTGAATCTGATCTTGTGTGAGAGAATGTATATGATTAGCACGAATGTAATGTATATTGACCTTTTCGGTATCCTCTCTTATCCTCTCTAAAATTAAGTATAACGTCCTCGTCATCCGAAATACTTTCTGATTTAGACTCGTAGAGAATCTCCAGATTTTGTAAGTTCGAAGAACTTCTTCTATTTTAGAGTAGCCTATGAAAAATTATATAGCAACTATAAAAAAAATAAACTATAATAGTTTCAAAGTAGTATAAAAAAAACAAACAAAGAAACAGATACTCATTCTTATAAAATTTATTATTCAAATTATTTCACTCTGCTACACTGGGGTACACGCCAACCCCAAATAACATGTATTTCAAAAACAAGAAACACTGCATATATCCTAATTTGACGAATGTGAAGTAACTTGTCGGGTACTGAAACTAATGAGACGCCAAGTAGCAGCATTTCAGGGTTAATAGATTGTATGTTATTTTCCTTCTAGAATACACTTCATTTATTTATTTGGATCTATATACAAAATGTACCGTACTTTTACTAATAAAGTCTTTATCAAAATCTATTTTTGAATTATTCTTCTATTCTTACAATTACTTTTAGGTTGCTGTTAAATGTGAAAGTTCCTGTCCATCCTGAAGCTGCGAAAGAAGCTGAGAAACCTGAAAACGAATTTAGAAAAATAAGTATGAACATAAATAATTTCGAAGTATTGAGTATAGATGAAAAACGAAGCAGTAATACCATCTCACTTGGATTTAGTACGATTCCAGGATAATTTTTTATATTTTAGAATTAGAAAGAAAATATTTATTAATTTGTATAGCATTTATTTATTTATTTTTATTAAATACATTTTTATATACTATTTGTACGATGTTTTTGTAAACTGATTAAATGGTGAAAAATCAAGAAAGTAAGGTAGCTGTGATGAGAAGTCAAATTTAGGACATGGCTAGGACTTATAGAAATAAAAAATTTTGGGTTTAAAGTTTTAATAGATGTCTTTATCGACAAGAAAGCACACTAGGCTTAAAATGCCGAAAAAATGGAAATTAAATGACTGTTTAGTTATTATATAATACAGGTTGTAATAAAAAGATTGGTCCTAAATTATACCACATGTTCTTTGGTCAAAAATATTTGAATTGAAACTTACTTACCTATGTACAAAATTGCATCCATATTATTTGTTTGTAAACTCTTTGGTTTAAACGATACAGTCACTTACTTGTTACGTTTACAACTATTTACCTCAAAATACAATAATCTAATTTAACAGGTGTTCAAAATGATTACCTCTTTAATGTATACACAATACACATTCCAGATAATGTTAACAATGGAATATTTTAAAAATTTAATAGCAAACGAAAGGCTACACGGTAAAACAATGTTTTTTTACTTTCCTATCTGTATACAGATATAAGGAAAGTATAGGAATCATGATTTTTTTTCAACGGATTTTTACGTTTTGAGGTCCCCTGAATCCGTTTTGACTATTTTCGCGATGATGTGTGTGTGTGTGCGTGCGTGCGTGCGTGCGTGCGTGCGTGCGTGCGTGCGTGCGTGCGTGCGTGCGTGTGTGTGTGTGTCTGTATAACGCATAACTCATGAACCGATACACGGAAAAACACCAAATTTCAAACTCAAGCTTTGTTTTAGTGTCTAATGAGCTGATTAGATTTTGGGCAGAGTCGGAACATCTGGGGGGGTACTTTATGGGTGGTCATTTTTATATTTTATGGAATATATCTGTTATTTACGTTTGGGGAAGAAAATTCTTCAAATGAAAGTTACTTCTTATTTTATTATCTATAATTTTTGTTATATACAAAATTTTCCTAAAATGGTCCGTATTCGCGAAATTTGACAAAATGTAAAAAAATATTTTTTTTTATAAAAATTTTCACAAAAGTTGTTTGTAATATAATTCTCTATAATTTTTATCCTATAAATAATTTCTCTAAAATTGACTGTATTCGAGATATTTGAGAAAATGTGTAAATTTCGAAATTTGAAGAAAACTCAAAAACGGATAAAGAAAAAAACATTAAATTTTAAACTTAAGTTTTATTTCGGCCTGTCGTGAAACGATTAGATTTTGGACAAAGTCGGAACATCTGGGGGGGTACTTTATGGGAAGCCGTTTTTATATTTTATGGAATATATCTGTTATTTATGTTTGGAGAAAAAAATTGTTCAAATAAAAGTTACTTTAAATATTATTATCTATAATTTTTGCTTTTTGTAAAAATTTCCTGAAATGGTCCGTATTCGAAAAATTTGACAAAATGTGCAAAATTCTGATTTTTATGAAAATTGTTGAAATAAAAGTTGTTTGCGATATCGATCTCTATAATATTTGTTTATACATTAATTTTTTTAAAATGGACCGTAATGGAAAAATTGTAGGAAAAGTGCTAAATTTAAATTTTTCAGTATTTTCGTTTTCAATGAATATCTATAGAAAAATGTTTCGAGGTAAATGTATGGGAAAATGTATATATTTAGTTTATCCTCTAAACATTTATAGAGATGCTGCAATAGGTTGTACAAAATAACCGGAAAAAGCCTGTAATAACTAGATAGGAAAGTCATGTGTTGGACACATCAGATTTTTTTTTTTTTTTTAAAGCGAAGATTCGCATGTTACGGTTACAACTTTGATCAGATCTAATCTTTAATATACTCTGTTATAAGTAAATTTTTGTCAAAGAAAAATACATACCATGTAAAAACAAATAGAAGTCGGTTAATTAGTACTTACTTAATTGTTTGTTATTATTGTCAGTCTTAACATGAAGTTTCTCTGGACAATAGTTTGGCTTTTTACTATTTGATTAAAAATTAATAATTACAGTTTTTCTGAAATGGGAGATATGCATTTAGTCTTAGGTAAGACTAAGATTACTCCGATGTATCCAGGCCGTATAGGTTAGGTAAATTAATTAGTTTTTTTTTTAATTTTCCAATTTTATGTAGGTATACTTTTTTATGAAACAATTCACGATAGTTTCATGCCGCACAGGTTAAATAAATTAGTTAGGTTTGATGTCTGAATTCATGTGTGGCCAAAAATATTTATTGCCTACAAGTATTTTGGATGCTTTGATACCAGGATGCCATGCTCTATCTCAGGTTTTTAGATATGTAAGGACGTTGTATAGGTGATAATACTTCACATTTTATTTTATATCCTCATGAGCAATTTTTAAGAGTTCTAATATGTGTTTGTCTTGTGTTTTGGTTGATTGATTTTTTAAAAGTTTTTTAATTCTTTGTCGATATTTTGAGAGTCCTTCAACCATTTTACATTACAGTTCATCAAATTTCTAGAGGCTTTCGACGGCTAGACAGAGAAAGCACTACTGACAGGCATCCCGACGGATTTACGCAATGAAAGTACACTCTGCGCATCAAGTATTTCACTATTTCATTCAGACGTAAATGTCAGATGTAAATTTCGCTAAAACATTTCTTTTATTTTCGTTTGTGTTTTTTGCTCATTACAGTTTAATAGAACCTAAGTATGGAGTTTAATAGCAAATTAAGAGGCCGCGTGATTAACAGTCAATCTCGCGAAAAAATAGCCAATGTTATAGAGTTTATGAGAAGAGAAGGAAACTTTAATTCACCTTCAATACCATTTAAAAATGTAAATGATCGTGTTGCTGCAGCCACAGGAGTATCTAAAAACACTGTCGTCCGCATTTCTGGAGAAAAAAAAAGAATCGATAACCGTGAGATATCGGAATTTTCATCACCAAGAAAAACCATTAAAAAACCAAAAACAGTTAATGATATAGATGAAGCTGCACAAGAATCAAATTTTATTTTTTTATTATTAGATAGCTATTTTTGTTTCTGAGTTGTGTTCATTTACAGGCTCAATTTTTTTCCGTTTCTCCTTTTTGATTTTATATGGGGTTTCAAGTTGTTTTTGACTTATTTCGACGTAAATCACAACAACACACTTTTTTAATAAAGCAAACAAGTGTTAAGAGGTATATGTACGTGTAAACTACAATTACAAAAAATTGATATGAAACCCATGAAACCACCAACAAAAATGTAAAGCTAGCTTCCGTACTAGAACATGGTGTCATTCGTCGAGATAATTTATCGTTTTGTTTAATAGATCAAGAAATGTAAATATTCCCCTGTTATTTTTTATAAAATTATAAGAGAAATAAATTTTTTTCTAAATAGTATAGTTTATTATTTTGTAGAAAAACAAAATTTCGAAAATTTTAGTAATGTTTCAGAAACAACCGTTATTAATAATAGGTACCATTTTCCTTAATAAGGTAGAAATAAAATATAAACTATTTCCACGATTTACAAAGGCCTACAAAAAAATTATAGGTATTTTCCGCTATCCTATAAAATTTATATTTTCTGACTCAATTTCAAAAGGTTGAAGGAATTCCAAAACACCTTTTATGGCATAATAATTATTTTCAATTCTACATACTATCTTTAGCTGCTTTTAAAAACGTTCTAAGAAAGTCCAATCAGACCAATTTAATCCCTAAACTATTCCACACTTTTAAAATTTAATTACCTAAAAATATTAAATACTATTTAAAATAACTTGTTTAGCAGACTGTACAATAGCTATCTTAGTCACACGTAGCGCGTTCTCTGTCTGGGCGTCGAAGACCTCTAGAAATTTGATGAACTGTAATAAAATTTTCATTTAAACAGAAAACACTATCGTCAACTATGACGTATGTCAGAAGTAAATTGAGCAATAAATTCTAAGGGCCAAAATTGACGAGGGCTTTTTTCTAAAGAGGATGTAGGAGCTTTAGTAAGGGGTTTATGGTCGATATAGATTATAGAATCATGGCGTATTTTCTTTCGGTAAGAGTGAGTTTCTTTAAAAAGTAAGCTATAGGTTGCCCTATCTTGCTTTGCAACTGTTCTAGTACAGCATCCATAGAAATATTGGATATATCTACTATCAAAGAAATATGATCATTTAGAGAAGGATAGATAAGCACAGTAGCATTGGCTAATTTGTTTTTGATATACCCAAAACTAGTTTCACATTCATCAGACCAACGGTTAATAGTTTTATCGGATTGGTTTTGTAATGTAGTAATTACTTCATATAGAAGAATAAGCGATTTAGCAGTCTACAATAAATCTGTGATAGAAGTTAATCATTCCTACAAAACGTTGTAGTTGTTTGGGGCCGTGGAAAATTTCTTATGATGTCTACACGTTCTTCTGACGGGAGGATACCATCAGAGGAAACAGTGTGGTCAAGAAATATCAATTTTTGAGATCCAAAAACGCATTTATTTGGTTTAAGATTAACTTCGAAAGAATTGAGTCACTCAAATAGAGTTTTTAGATGTACTTAATGTTCTTTTGCATCTCTGCTTGCTACTAATATATCATCTATAAAAACGAATAGTAAAGGTAAATCAGAAACAACTTCATTTATAAAACGTTAAAACGTTTGTGCCGAATTTCGCATACTGAAAGGCATTCTCAAAAATGTATACAGGCCAAAAAAAGGTAGTTATGGCAGTCTTATAAACATCTTCGTCTGGTACCGGGATTTGGTGGTAAGGCCCAACCAAGTCATTATATGAAAAAATTTTACATCCGTGGTGTTGATTAAAATCTTAGATATTGGATAAAGTGTACATATCTGGGACGGTTACATTGTTGAGTTGCCCATAGTCGCCTCAAAGTCGCCATTCGAATGAATGCTTTTTAGGCACCATGTGTAATGGAGAAGCTACTAGAGAAGATGACGGCCTGCATAAGCGAAGTACAATCGTTTGTTCGAATCCGATTTTAGCAATATTATGTTTATTAGGATCAAGACGTCGCGTACCATAAAAAGGA